AGCTGCTACCTCCATTCCTATAAATTTGCCACCGTGACCGCTGTCGTACGCGTCTGCACTGTTGTATGCTAATAGCTGCTACCTCCATTCCTCTAAATTTTGCCACCATGACCGATGTCGTGTGCGTCTGCACTGTTGTATGCTCATTGCTGCTACCTCCATTCCTATACATTTGCCACCGTGACCGATGTCGTGTGCGTCTGCACTGTTCTGTGCGTGCCTCTGCACTGTTGTATGCTAATAGCTGCTACCTCCATTCCTCTAAATTTGCCACCGTGACCGATGTCGTGTCCGTCTGCACTGTTGTACCTCCATTCCTCTAAATTTGCCACCGTGACCGATGTCGTGTGCGTCTGCACTGTGGTATGCTCATTGCTGCTACCTCCATTCCTCTAAATTTGCCACCGTGACCGATGTCGTGTGCATCTGCACTGTTGTATGCTACTAGCTGCTACTTCCATTCCTATAAATTTGCCACCGTCGGCGATCTCGTGCCTTATCCCCGGGGTCGGCGGCAGGGGGCGGAGCCCTTACAATATCATTGCTGTTATGGGGTGAAGTCGACATTGGACTGAACTCAACTGCTGCTAGCCACGGGGAAATAGGGGAAATAGAAGGCAGAGAGGCGCACACTTTCGCATTGAGGGTCGATATGATGGTCCCTTTATATACAAGACCTTGATCAAGGCCCATTCACTGTTAGTGGTTATAGGATAGAAACCAAGGTTAGATTGGGCAGGACATTCACAGTTCGGGGGGGTGCCCTTTTTCGCTTGGTTCAAGGCCGTTTTGATGTCGAAAAAGGGCACCCCTAAATAACTGAGTGGTGGAACAGAATTTTGTGCTCATAAGAGTGGGCTGATGCAAGCCTTGTGCCAAGATCATGTGATTGCATAACATCGAGCAAGCATACCGAAGAATCAATTGTTCTGGTGCTATTTTTTTGCCTCCGAAGAAGCTACCCCGAAGCACTGTGAGCTAAGACTCGGCATCGTGCCCTGCAGGCGTTGACATTTTTTGAGGCAGCGTCCGTAGCAATGCCTGCATAATTCCACGGGAAAGCAGAAGGCTGAAGGACGCGGAGTTTCGCATCGAGGCTCGATATGATAGAACCCATATACACAATGCGCTGTCACTGGTCATAGGATAGACTTCGATCCGTACAAAAGTCCGACCCCCTTGGACATGTATAGCTCTAAGGGGTGCCCTCTTTCATTCGGTTAACAGCCCTTGCCAACATTAAAAATTGCACCCCCAAGCAACTCAGGGGTTCCTGCCTGCATTCTATTTCCTCTCCTGTCCTCCACCTGGACTCATAAATTTGGTCAGCCCACCTGAACATGGGGTGCCCTCGTTTGTTGCAAATTTGTTGAGGGGGCAAGGAGGAGATCCCATATCAAGACGCAACTGCAAAGATGAAGCCCACAAGTGTCCACCGAGTACAGAGCTGTCCTCTAACTGGATGGATACACCTGGTTACCCTGGCTGCTTCTTGCATTTCCTGTCACGCAGTCTCCCCTTTCCCCCAGCTCCCCCCTGGTCAATAGACAGTCTCAATAGTCTTCTGTGATGCTAATGATGCACTACGCACCGCACTCAGACATCCTAAAACATACATGTTCACTACCTTTCGGACGCTCGCATTTTTTCGCTTCCCCACCAGGCTCTGGGTTCATCCTACCCGCTGGGACTTTCTTGCTTGTCTTTTCGGACGAACCAAATCATTAGTGCGAGCGCTTCTTCAAGGAAGCTTCCCCGCTGCCTTTAGGAGAGCTTTCTTCAAGGAAGCTTCCCCGCTGCCTTTAGGAGAGCTTCCTTGAAGAAATTAATCAAGTAGGGGAGGGGGTGAGCGGGCAAAAAAGGGGTACGACCACGACGGACACGACTCACGACTCTGCACCCTCAGCACTTTGCGCAAAAAGGTTCGACTCACATCGAGAGGGGCGAACTCTTGCAGCTGGGGTGTTGCGAGAATGGGCCTTTTGCACTTTCTTTGAAGGCTGAGAAGCTGTTGCGGCAGCGAAGTGCGTTTCAGCGCAGTTGACCTGGGTTCACATTACCCAGCTTCTATGATAAACAGGCCATGCATGCACTGGGAGACCCATCCCGTGACTGACCGATTGGCATCCTTGATATGCGATCTGAGCTGCTTCCGTTAGATCGCTTGTGTGCTCTTTCAACCTTGCATATTTGGGCACTTGATGCAAAGAAGAGTGCAATTTCGGAGGCTTGCATCTCGTGGTTGAACTTCTTTTGCGCTACATTGCTCACAACCTCTTGCCTCCCTTTGCCATGTCCGCAGTGAGAAGCGGTCGGAATCTCTTTGTGCAAGGTTTGCATCGGAAGAAAGACAATCATACTTAGAGGCTGGAGGCGCGGGTGAAGGAAGGTCTTCGTGTGGCATTTTGTTCAGCCTGCTTCATCGTTTCCTAGGTCTGTTGATGTCGGGTTGACAAATTCGGTATCTTGTATCAGTTGCGAGGATCTGTTGCAAGGAGGCCAATAGGTCACTGACAGGGCTTTTCCAAACCCTCAAAGCCAGCTCTGCCAATTTGCATTCAACATTTCACTGTTCGATTGCGGATGCAGCTCTAATCCTCTATATAAGCAGTTTCAATACACCAAAAAGAGGACAAGTTTTAACTCATATTTGTGGTTTCTAGAGCACGCTGTTTCCTCTTCCACCTGGCATAGGATATTAAGACAACAAAAGCAGCTTGAAATGCACAAATGATTGGTTGCAAGACCTTGCCTCAACTCGCTGTCATCGCTGTCCATAACCTGACCATGGTGTGAAACTATGGCTATACAATCCATGATATCATTGTGCATCCTGTTTGCGACAGCAGCCACCTGCCTTCATTGGCTTTGCAAAGGTTACATGATCACGTCGAACCTGTGTACGCTGCCCATACTCTTGAAGCAGCCAAATCAGTGTTCAAAACAAATAGAGGAGCTGTGCGGATAGATTCAATATTGCTGTCAGTCTGTTTAGACATTCCTCCGTAGTTTTCCACCCATAGCCTCAACAGACACATCTCCAAGTGATTGTCTGTCAGATCCGTCTTCCAAACGCAGCCGTCTCCGGTGTAAAACACCTTGCATACACTGGCATACACGAGAGGAAATCTAACCTGACATGAAACTGCAATTGTTCTCAATGCATCGTTTCAAAAAATGAACACCTTAATGCAAGCAAGTCTGGTGTCAATCCTCGAGAGAGGTCAGGAATGCTCAGTAAAGCTTTGCCCAGACATTCATGGTGATTCGCATTGAAGACCTCCGGACAGGGTGAAACCCATGGATTTGAATAAACTCAAGGTGTCAAAGGATGTCTTTCTCAGGGACGCAGTCATAATAACTAATTCTCACTGTACGTTACAGGAGATGGGTGTTGTTGTAATGCTGGACGGAAGAGAATGGAGGACCTATTCGCGATGAAGTTGGTGTGAATACTCATGGGCTACTTATTGTGCCTCTGGGTTTGCCCGCTCTGCTCTACGTTAACAAAGCCATTCTCTCTTTGCAGCACAGGTCTCCCCCTTCAAGTTCCAATATCCTCAGCTCACTTTAATTCATCAAACGGCACATGACATTGGGCGAATAAAAGCGCCTTCAGCCTTTAACAAGGCTCGATTTTGGAGCTGAAGGTGCGAGTACAAAGTCTCGCTTGTTCGTCGCGCTTGTCTATGCCTCGTCTCAGCCAACTCTGTATAATATTCGATAAATCTGGGCAACTCCTTGGAAATGGGCCATTGAATCAAGCAGCAAACCTGTTGCTCGCCCTTTCGAGACTGAAGAGTTTCGACCATGAGCGGTTGCGTAAGTATCCTTGTTTCCGTTTATGAAAATCATATATCAATCCTTAAACATCTACAATCTACATGTTATAAATATAGCTATGCAGGGTTCGTTCATAACTATACAACTTCACTCGAGTGTGTTTTGCTTCTTGTTCTTGCACATGGTTTACTTGAGGATGTCATTCAGGCACTTCGTGGTACTTCAGCATACTTTGAACTGCACTCAGGATGGCTCGACAAACGGGGCGCACAGGGATGATCGATTCGCAGCAGCCATCCCTTGCTTTCGAGATCTAGTCTTGCCATGAATGTGTGGAGAAAAGGACACCGGACGCAAATGATGAATGCGCCAACAAAACCGACAAAGCTCAACAAAAATGTAAAAAATACGGTGGCTGGATGCAGCTGGTACAGATTGGTGATGGTTTGGAGCAAACCGTGAGAGCTTTCCTGCTCTGATGTAGTTGTTCCCAGGTTTTGAAACCGCCGTCAAGGGATTCTACCACCAAATACACCTTGCTCCTGTGAACAAACCTATTAATTAGCCGTCTTCGTGCGTTCATGTTCTCCTCAAGACAATGTAGATTGAATGCCCTCTTTTTGTGACTCCGAGGGTGAATAGTGAAGCGCCCCTTGTGCAAGATATCACCTCCACAATCTGCCAAGTCACGCAGGCTGTTGGCAGCATTTTATGCACACGGCACCAATGCTCTTCATTTCAGAGCATATTATCGTTTATCTGGCTTATCGTTTATCTGGCTGTTAACTCTGTTGACTCTATTGGTTTTCCCCTCCGCACAGTGAGTTTGGATCAGCTCCGCCTTCACATGATTGTGTCCCTTTCTTTTGGATTGTCCTTGGCAAGTCTATCTGCACCTCCGCCCTTCTTAAGTTTTCTTTAATTTAATTTAGTTGTCAAGCCCTTCTGTTGCTGAGTTGTTCAAGTGACTCCGCCATGTGCGCCACCCCCACGTTCATTGGGAGCTGGCGCATAGCGGCGCCTGTTGTGTTGTGCGGACTAGTTAGTGTTCTACACAGCTGTACTGGGCACCTATTGTGTTTCCATCAGAAAGGCAATCTCATCCCACGTGGTCTCTCTATGACCATATGTGTTGCCCGTTCAAAATCTAAAATGCACCGCCTCCAATTCAAGGAGTTCAACCTCCGGGTCCATTTCGCAAATGAACCTCGGAAGGTTTCTTGTCATCAACAGTCAACAGCTCAAAAAGCTCCACAATTTCTGATTCTCTTCGTCCTGAGTTTACTCGTTTCGTATCCTTTGTCTGTGGGAACCTCTCTTGACCATTACTTCTGTACGCGTGGAAAACTTGGCTCGACGGCTCGTTGTCAGTGGTCCAAACAGGGTCGCTGCCATTCGCTGCCCTTGGTGTCCGTAGGACTGTATTGACATTGACAACCCTCATAGCCCTCATATGTACATCAAGAAAGCAGGACGAACATGGGACAACTCCTGCAAAAACTGTGAAAGATACATTTCTTAAAAGAAAGTTAGCCCTCCGGAAGCCTCAAGAATCGACACAACTTGCAAACATATTGCGACATCAGCTTATACATATTCCCTTGCATATCATTGTTTAGTAATAACAAAACATAGAGATTAGTGGTTAGAGATGTTCCCATTTCATTTCGATAAACACGAGGAATGTTTCCGTTAATCTCCAACAACTGAGAAACAACGCGACTTTGTGCGGACCTGCGTGACTTTTGCATGTGGAGCAAAGGCAAAAGCGAGTCCGCACGATTCAAAGGGCACATCATGAATCAGCCATGTTCCACCACCGCTTTGGTCCCGGTAAATCTCTGAAATTTTGGCTAGCTCAAAATGTCACCATCTTGCAACGCTTGCGGCATACTGTCTTCCAGCTGCGGGCAGTTGTCCATTAACATCGAAGGGGTTTTCGGTGCCCTGGCAAGCGAACTCGCTGCAAGCTCCTCAAGCTGTTGAAGTGCTAAAATCTCACATTGCCGAGCTGAAAGTCTTGCCACTGGTGCTCGCGACGTTAAAATACAAATTGCCTTCCAAAGTATTTCACTGACACCACGAGACCTCCCTTTGACAGGTGGCTCTATCAAGACTTTGTGACTGGTGACTTGTCTCCTGCATTCTGCAGGGTCTTCACTGTGATATGGCAAGTCACCGAAGCACATCGCATAGAGAATCAAGCCTGCACTCCACATATCACCTTTCTCTCCGATCTCCTCACTCTCCAACCGTTCTGGTGAACAAAACTCGATTGCATAGCCACCATGAGAGGATAGGTCACCCTCTCCCATCATTTGGCATGTTCCAAAGTCTGAGAGTAGCGGCCGTGGCAATGCTGCAGCTTGGCCCGGTACCTTCGAGTTTGGGGCGAGAAACCAATAGTAAACAGTAAACACAAGTTCGTAGCAAGGACGCAAATGGGCTAGGCTTCTTCAAGGTTCTGCTCGATTCATCTAGAATCTAGAGGGAAATTATACAAGCAGCTCGGTGCATCTAAGTGCTCAGAAGATCGTTCCCCCAAAACAAGCATGATATGATTTACTGCAAAAACAAGCCATTGCATTATGTGCAGAGAAACAATATCACTGGGTCCAACTCTACAAAGGGGAGTGGAATTGTGAAATATACGTAATTTTTCCCCAACAGCAGCATGCTTTGGGGTCTTCAGCCATAGTAAAGGTTTCGGAGCAAGCCGGAGCAGCTCCCAAAGACATTCCCCCAGGTTCCTGCAAGGTTCCTGCAAGGTTTGCAAGGTTCCCACAACTCTGTTCCACAAGGTTCCCCCAAGGTTCCCACAGCTTTGCTCCAACGTTCCCACGAGGTTCCCACAGTTTTGTTCCACAAGGTTCCCACAACTTTGTTCCAC